TTTGCAATGGGAGAGGACACCGTTTAAGAAAATTTGGTTCTTTTAAGTTACGGTAAACTATAGTATAGTGCATCTACCATAGCCATAATGTTGTACTACTGCACCTAAACAATAGAAACAAGTAAAGGTCTCATTGTATATTACAGCTTTTTGTTGCTAGTTAGTTCAAATTAGGCTGTTGTCATATAAAGTGCAAAAAATTAATAGTGCTGCACCCTTTTGGTAAAACTTTTTAACTTTTTAATGCTATTTAATTTCATAGAACCAACTTGTGTAGTTGAAACAGCTGACTAAATTCTTTATTTACTTTAAATATGAATACTCATAAGGTTAACATGGGCAACTCCAGAGCCACTGGGGTGGAGCCCGAAATGATTTTGAGATAAGAATATGCCTACATGTTAATCGGGAATGTGAGCTATCATTATACTGATAAACTATCATGAGCGAATAACCTGTAAAATTCGCCCATCCTGTAACCTGTAAATTTGAAACTTCTCCATTGTGGAAATTTCAGATTAAAATAATATTTCAATCCAGTGATTTGATGAGTATTGTTGATGGTTCTGAGAAACTTGAACTTGGAGTTGCCCATCCAACCAGTAGTTAATGCGTGGTTTAACTTCAAACAAACAAACACACCTACTTTCACATTTATAATATTGTTAGTAAGATTGGCATCTTATTCGATACAGAACCAACATCTTTTTATTATTTAAACCCGTCTAACAAACTATTAAAATGGACACTTCAATTACAAAAAGTAAATATAAGTATATTGCTACCTACTGAAAATATTTAAGTCATATTTGAATATTATGAATTTAAAAATCGGCAAAGATTTGGTTTTCAATTGGTACCACATTGACAAAAAATATAGGATATTACACAGTTGTTAAAGGCTATCAACAACTTTCTCTGTTGAACCTTCCAATTTGCGTCATTACAATGATTGCTGTTCTTATATTTGTTTGGCAAGTGATAAACAGGAAGCTTTATTCAACAATTGAACGATTTGTTCTTCAATTTAAACAACTGCCGAAAAGAAATCACGAAAAATTTAATAAAGGGTTGAGTTTGTATGCGGGAAAACTCATTTAAAAGACAAATTAACCACTTAAACATAACGCATTTAAATCTTGTAAAAACAATGTTACTGTAACAATATCATGTTTAATTCTTTCGCTATCCACTCTTTATACAGGGTGAGTTTCTACTGACCGTGTTAACTTCGCCAGTAGGTTCTACTCACTAAAAGGAACAAAAAAGCTCATATAAACCCATGTCCGATTTTCAACCGTTTGGCTGTAATAGGGGATTTTGTGTTTTTCTTATTTTATTAGACTTTGCTCCACAATTTATGTAATAAAAACTTAACCTATTACTTTAGAGAGTTATAGTTAAAATCATTGGAAAGAATATTAAATTTGCTATAAATCAAAGGTTTCATTCAAGAATTATACCATTACATAGTCCACGTTATATCCAAAATAAAGTAAAAATGTCATTAAATTAATTAATTACGATAATTTTCATGAGCCCACTTTGATACATAAACCTGCATCTATGCAATGTTGAAATGCATAAAAAACTTGGCCATTTAATAATCTTTCAAATGATATGCTATTCAATACTATTATTGATATAAACCAGTGAGAAATTACTAATAAACTACAATAAAACACGGTCTACAGATTTTGTTTTGACACAGTTCTTACTGTTACTGTAATAATAATTACTGTATTCATCATGTTGGCATACTCTTGATTGGTAAAAGGCTCCATAGTTTAATAAATGTTGAAAAACTCTTAATTGACTTGGAAATATAAAGTTAAAACAGCAAATTACTCAACAAGGTATGTTTAAGCAGCTGAGTTATCTAGCTATAGATGACAAATCAATAAAAGCTGACTTAATCAAGCACAAGGTAAAACTAATTATACAGCATTTAAGAATCAAACACATCTTTGAAAATGTGAAAAACCTTGAGTTTATACATTTTATTAATTCAGATAATTTTTATAAATATTTAAAAGTTAAAATAATGTACAAATCTTATCAGATTGTTCAATAAAATACAACATGGAGTATACAGTAATTATTATCAACTGTAAAACTGTGCAAAAACAAAATATGTAGACTGTGTTTTATTGTAGTTTATTAGCAATTTCTCACTGGTTTATATCAATAATAGTATTGAATAGCATATCATTTGAAAGATTATTAAATGGCCAAGTTTTTTATGCATTTCAACATTGCATAGATGAAGGTTTATGTATCAAAGTGGGCTCATGAAAATTATCATAATTAATTAATTTAATGACATTTTTACTTTATTTTGGATATAACGTGGACTATGTAATGGTATAATTCTTGAATGAAACCTTTGATTTATAGCAAATTTAATATTCTTTCCAATGATTTTAACTATAACTCTCTAAAGTAATTGGTTAAGTTTTTATTACATAAATTGTGGAGCAAAGTCTAATAAAATAAGAAAAACACAAAATCCCCTATTACAGCCAAACGGTTGAAAACAGGACATGGGTTTATAGGACCTTTTTTGTTCCTTTTAGTGAGTAGAACCTACTGGCGAAGTTAACACGCTAAGTAGAAACTCACCCTGTATTTACCCTTTAGGCTTAAATTTGTTTAGTGGTTTACTGAATCAATGAAATTTTACTATTCCATTCCAACAGTTTTTAAAACAAGGGGGCATTTGTAAAACCCAACGACCATGCCTAAACAATCGTTATTTATAAAAAAAAAAATATTTGATAAGTAATTTAGTCAACATATATATTTATGTACTTAAGCTTTAAAACGAATGATTTCAATAATTATAATAACGTGCAAGCCTACTGGTAAAGTTCACACCGACCCTGAAAACTATATGTTTATTTTCAAAGATTTGTGTATGATATTTTCTTCGTTATAATAGTTAAAGGTCATATGTTGTAGGAAGTGTAACAATTCTTGAAGGATGTATATTCAAGCTAGATACAAGCCCGGCTAGCTCAGTCGGTAGAGCATGAGACTCTTAATCTCAGGGTCGTGGGTTCGAGCCCCACGTTGGGCGGAAACATTTTAGCTAATACTAGAACGGTATATTGTAAAGGAACTATAGTTATTAAATCATCAACAATACACAAGAAATATTTGCATATACTGTATTATTGAATTAGGTGTTTCAACGTTCGTAAACCTTTTTCTGGACCTATTTTAATATTAATAATATTCTGTCAGCATAAATAAGGATATTAAAATCGTCTACAGAGAACCCCTTCCTATCAGCAAGCTTTACATTGCAAAAAAACCGTCCGTAACCAATTATTCGGATCAAACAACACGCCATCGGTTTGGTCCAACTTCCTAATTGCCACATCACAACCTCCTGTACGTCGTGGACCAGATGTCTCGGGTGTAACATGCGTGGAGGAGTCGCCGTCAAGGACATCGTGGAAACCAGGAACCATTATTAAGAAGTGCGGTATTGGAGACTTTGAAGTGGGTTTGGGTTTCGATTTGGGCCTGCTGGAAACATTGTTTTGAGAAGGGGAACGGTCATGATGTCTAGATGTATGAGAAACCTTATTGATATCTGGTAGGTCTGATGTCGATGTAGGGGAACTAATGTTCCAGGGAAATTAGTTTAGAGTCAAGTCTAGAAGCTTTTAAAGCTAATCGATACGATTTCTTTCATTTTAGAGCTTATTTTTTAACCTATTTTAATTTATAAAGGGATTCTGCACACATACAGGAAAATATCTGTCTAACAGTATGCGTAGATTTTTCCTACGATGCACACGAACTGAGAAAGATTTTTTAAAGAAACATGCTTGCCTATTAATACATAGATGGTGTTCTATGTAAACTTAAAAGTGTCTATCTAGTCCATATAGGTGGCATGATAAATTAATTTTTCACCAAAACTATTCACATATTTTAGCTCAACCTAGGATTTTTTCCAAATTGTCTATACACACTGAACAGTGAATTACAATAGAAGATGAACAAAACTGATCTCTATGAAGACTTGGTGATTGTTGGTGATTCATTACAAGAACATCTCACGAGCAGCTCGCATCTGTCTCAGCTGATTACAGATAATGACGACCAGCTGACGTTTAAAGTGTTTGAATTATCTGAGCAGTTCGTTATTTCGCCACTAGGAGCGACAACGTCGCCTTAGTACGAACTTTCGCTGATAGAATGCAGTTATGTTTATTTCACATCGTTTTTGGTCACAACGTTCGGTTCTGGAAGTTTTAATTCCAACACTTAAGAGTACTTGGAGCCTAGACATTCTGACTCATAAAAATGTCTAAATCTCACAGTTCACTAGATACTAAACTGCGGTGTTTGAAAAAATATTTTGAGATGGTAAATAGCTCTTCAGCAGCGGTTTGAAATTATCCAAGATGGCCTCCAAAGAATCTTAAAAGTAAGCCAATGGTCATACAGACGATTTTTTTTAACGATAGCTGAGATTTTGGTGCCTGCTCAGCCATTGCCTTCCGATGTTCAGTTGTAGTTTAGTCCCAAGTGACGGACACTTTTGGTGTTAGAATTTACATGAGATTTACTTCCCTACTTTTCGTGGCTAGACAATCAGTTCCAGTACTCTAGACAAGTCGGTGTGGAACTAATTTATTGTCCAACGCTTGAAACACAGGCGAAATTATGCAGAGATTTAGTGTTTTTAAGAGTTGTAGATGTTTTATAATTTCGTTTAGTTAGGTTAGGTTTGGATAAGATGAATTATATTTGGTTGACACCCCAAATGCCTCATATATACATAGATTTAGCTTGAAAGATGTACCCCATCTAAAATTCCTTACAGCGAATGTTCATCCTAGTGTACCCCGATTCAACCCAGCGAACATGATGTGACAGGATCAACGATCGCAGACAAGTTTTAGCTTACACCCATCATATTTACCAACATAACAACTTTCCAACACAAAATTGACCTTCCATAACTCTCTCGGTTGTTCCAGATGTATGGTCCAGACTGCGAGGGGACGACTTCAGTCCCCTGGACTCCGCCAAGGCCCGCAACCTGCTGAACCTCTGCGTGGCCGAGATGCTCGGCACAGCCACATTCGTCGGCCTCGGTTGCAGCAGTCTCATCGGCAACATAGAAGGGACAGAGTCTCATTTGAGTCATCTCAACATCGCCCTCACATTCGCTTGCGGCATCGCCCTCGTCGTCATGGTTAGTAAATACACATTTTTTTGTTCTAGGACGAGACACGAGCCCGGAATTGTTTTTCACATTACTTCAGGCTATACCTAGGGGTTACGGCAATATCTCTTGGACAAAATCCATTGGTGATTTGGTGGGGTTTCAACCCAGGACCCCAGGAACCGGAGTCCCGCGCTCTAACCACTAGACCAGCTCGCTCCCCTAGTAAATACACATAAGGAATTGTATAAAGGAGTTTTATAAACAGTAGGTTATACCATACTGGTCAGTATATGACGTGTCTAAATATGATGAGAACGGATAAATACTAATTGGTATATGGTATGTTTATATATTAATGCGTTCTCCTGTTAAAGATAGTTTTTATAGGGTTTTACAAATGAAATTATAGGTTTATAGGTTCTTGTGAGACTTTGTGGTATTTTGAAAGATGTACATGTCAAGTGGACGCCATGTTTGAAACAACCATTATGAAGGGTTTACTGATCTTCACTAGTGACAAACATTTCTTGTACGTTTCGATAACTATTTATTAGTTTCTGTTGCCCTAATTTCTTGAACTGGTACGTTAAATAATGTCCTAATTTGTGCGGTATTCAACTAAATTAGAGTTCGGGAGGCTCTATTTAGAATTATGGGAAACCCACTGCGTATTAATCTAAAAAAAAATAACTGTACTCCTTAGTTACGTGTTGAATGACACTTTTGGGAGTAATAGAAAATTACTCTTACTCCATACGGTGGAATGGTTAATGAATATGTTTGTTGCAATGTAAGTTTGTATGGATCCTGTGGTGTAGGTGATGACATTGGTATGTAAGCTTTGTCTTGCCAACTACTAACTACTTCCTTGACCCTGAGTGTCTTTGCCAATTGTGTCTTACAGTGATGCTTGAACTTGGCTTACTGTAGAGTCTTTAATTATCTTGATAATCTATACTGTCAACACACTTCAAACGTCATTGTGAATGGGGATAAGAAATATTGATACTCAACAATCTTGTGTGGTTTTAGATTCTTTTCTGGGTTTCTCGTTCAAAGCCTTCCTAAAAAAAAAAACTAAATACTATCCACTAGCTACTTGTAGAATGAATTAGCCTCCCTAAATAAATTAGCCATGTCACTTACAAATTAGTTTTGAAAGAAGCCGGGCCTGTTGATTTAATTAAAAGAGTGGCTCATTGATAAAATTGCAGAAGGACCAGTGATGTGAAGCCTCATCAAGCGTGTTAGGATTGAACTCAATTATTCTTTTAACATGTAATATTAATCAATTCCTTATATTCCACAGGTATTTGGCCATGTTTCGGGATGCCACGTCAACCCAGCTGTTTCCCTATCAGCTGTTATATTCGGTAATTTATCTTTGCCAAGATTCTTCCTTTACGTCATCAGCCAATGTCTGGGAGCGACTTTGGGAACAGCTGCAGTCAAGGTATGTTAATGATACAACATAAATTACGATAAAACGAGGGTCAAATCATGTGATCATAAAATCACGTGTATATCTATATGTTATCATGTTTTCCATCGAATTTCTATGATAAAACTTTGGGAAATTGTTCCAAAATATGCCTGTGAGGTATTATTTCTGATTTAAAATCCTTGAGGGCTTTCAACTAAAGATACTTAAGATTTTTTTGTATACAGGGTGATTACTGGGAAACGCATGTTTTTGACTTTCGTAGTACATAAGGAATATCGTTCGGTTACGGCCGGAAGTTGTTTAGCTGTGGAGGGGGAAGTGTGCAGTTTCAATTTTTGCCAAGATGTGGGACCTTGAACATCGTACGTTTGTCATGCGTCGATATTACGCAAATGGTGAATTTTAACATTGCACGGCATGGTGCTATCTCTGATCGTAACACGATATTGCGTTGGATACATAATGTTAACTCAATTGGATCTCTGCTTAAGAAGAAACCTCCTAGACTGGCAAGGACAGTTAGTACCCCTGAGACAGTTGAAAGAGTGCGCCTTGCAACAGTTCAGAGTCCTAGCCGCGACGGCAGAGCAGTGACAGTGAATCCACAACGGTACCTAGAAATGTTGGAAGAATATTTCTTGCCGGAACTGTGCCATCAACGTGTTGAGATACGTAATGACGTATGGTTCCAACAAGATGGGGCAACAGTCCATAGGGCTCGCATTAGAATGGAATTCCTTCGCCGAACATTCCCTAAAAGAGTTATCCCACGTTTTGGTGGTGTCACTTGGCCGAGCGCTCACCAGGTCTTAAAATTCCAGATTTCTTTCTATGGGGATTTTCGAAATGTAGAGTTTACATAAACAAACCAAAAACAATACAGGAACTTAAAGAAGCTATTTGCCAGGAAATCAACACCATTCCTAGAGATATGATAGCAAAATCCGTAGCAAATTTTTAGGAACACCTTCAACACTGAATCCAAGCAGAAGGCGACCTGTAAAATTAACAATGTTCTCTAACCACCACCTTAGAGATGTAATTTTTAAATGCTAAATTGCAAGTAATTTTATTCTGAAATTGCATATTGTGTACACTGTTTTTCCACTCATAAATACATTTTTTGCTCTGAATAACCTGAGTACTCGTTATTTAAAAAACATGCGTTTCTCGGTAATCACCCTATATATGCAAAGTTTTTAAACATTTTCCATGAGTTAATAAACCATATAATTGGAAAATTGTTATATGACGATAAAAGGGAAAGAGAATACTTCAACGAATCGAGCTTTATTTAAAACAAGATATCAACTGAGAAGATCAGCCTGAATATCACTTCGAAATGTTACCATATTACTTGCACATGAAGACAATTACTTTTCATAATATACAGAAAACCTAGCTGAAGCATGGACGAGGTTTATTGCAAGATAAATTGTTAATTACCATTCAAACCATCCTTAACTGCAGTTACAGCTTATAGGTCCCACTGTTCGTTTTGCAAATGACCCGATTTTTGCAATCCGTTTTACTATTGATACACAGAAGAACAAGCATTCAAGGAAAAATCCGAAACCTTTTTTGTGATGATTATCTTTATAACAAAACATATGTAAAATCTTATAATCATTAATAACCCTATCCTAACTCGGTAGCAGTTTAAAAACTTATTTCACAATTACAACACCAGTTTTATAGTTTTCTACCAACCTGTAACCAATAATATTTAAACCATAACCTAACACATAATTTCCAAAATTTTACATTACTAATTAGATTAGTATACTTTTAGCTGGCCAATTCACAACCTGCGTTTACAATCGGTTCTAAAAAGCATCGTAAGGTGTATCTCAGAGCAAATAGAGTCACCTCATAAAACCGTATTGCTATTTTGACACCACTTGGAGGAAAACTTCCAGTTTACACCCCAATAAAATGTTCACGTCCGGCAATCCCGCGTAGTGCGATACAGTTGCTTTTAGATCGCACTATAACGTCAGGGTGTTTAGTTTATATCTTCTTCCACTAGTGTATTTGTTAGAAAAACCACGATTTCGAATTAATTTCTAACAGTTATTTTACCACTTGATTTTAAAACTCAGAACACTTGATTTATTAAAAAGCTGTGAAACTAATAGAACTCAAAAAATGTGTGACATTTAATTCAATTAAAAGTTTTATCCGATAGAACTATTTTAAGCTGCATTTATATTGATTGAAAAAATGCGTCTCACTCATCACGAAATCTCAGAAACCATAAGAGCTAGGAACCTGAAACTTGGCAGGCATCTTCCTTTTGTGTAGTACACGCTCACTAAGAAAGGATTTCACCCTCCGACCTCTGGGCTCCGCCCCAGTGGCTCTGAAGTTTCCCATGTTAACCTTATGAGTACTCATATTTAAATGGATGAATCTTAACAGCTGTTTCAATTAAACAAGTTGGTTCTGTTCTATGATGTTCAATAGCATTAAAGGTACAAGGATTACCAACAGGGTGTAGCACTATTATTTCTTTTACATTATTTATGACAACAGCTAATTTGCAACCAAAAGTTGAGTGAGCGTAGCGAACGAACTTCAACCTGGAGGCGAGTTAGCGTAGCGAACGAGCTCTAACCTAAAAGTGAGTGGGCGTAGCGAACGAACTTCAACCTGGACGTCAGGACGTGATTGAGCCATGCAAACGAGATCATCTTGAAAATTAAGAAGTTAAACGGGGCAAAGCCCGCGGGTTACAGCTAGTCTTCAAATAAATTTTAATAAATTATAAAACTCACTACATTTGAGTAGAATAGTTCATAGAATGTCAAACACCCTTGTTGAAAGCCTATTCTGAAAAGGGGGGTTCCTAAATTAATAAACAATGCGAAGCGAAAATTAGACTCTTGATCAAGACTAATTTGTGCATTGGGTAAACCATTTACCTTATAAAAAAGGTCCATAGACTAAACAAATTTACCGGAAATCATTCAAAACATATACATTTATACAATAGTTTTGGGGCGAACTAGTTATTGTGATAGATTGAGAATCTTCGCTCCCCAAGCTTGCGGGTTCGAATCCCACAAATAACCAATTTTAATATGTGAAAAAGCGTTTCTCTCACCCTAACCTGAAGTTGTGTGTAAAACCATAGACAAAAATAATTAAATATAGACTGTCAGCCGTGCTGTGGTTACCATGGTTATTGGGTTCTGGCACACACCGCTGGAAGCGCCGTGTAGTTACGTAGTGCGTACGCCGTAACTAGATGACACTCCCAGTGGTGTGCGCCAGAACCTATGGTAACCACAGGACATCAGACGATCTAAATTTAATTATTTTTGTCTATGGTAAAACGGATCTGGAGCTTGGTCTCCTATGACAGGACGAACACGTGGTTAACTAACCCTTTTACCCGCAGATTATCTCGCCTTGGTACTGCACGGAGGGCAGTTTCTGCGTGACCACCCCCACCCCCGCTGTAGGCACGTCGGCAGCGCTCCTAGCGGAGGCAATGTGTACCGGTATCCTGGTCTGGGCGGTCAACGCTGCTTGGGACCCGCGCTGTCAGGACAAGCATGACTCTCTGCCTGTCAAGTTCGGACTGGTCATCATAGCCTTGGTCCTGCCTGGGGTGAGTGATATTTTTCAATTTGTGTGTTTAATAACCGAATTTAGCTGTATAAAATTATTATGATGGTGCAAGCATTGGAATGAAGAGTGGTGTCATTGGAAAACGAACCAGTATCATGACGTTCATAAAACTTCCTTAGGTCCTATTACTGCAGTTACTGTGGTGGTACTTGGAGGGGATGTTCAATACTTTATTATTAAATGGTGACCATACAAAGTAGGTATTTTAAGCAAAGTATGGATGGAGATGAGTGTAGGATGAGTGGGCGATCTTGTAGTATTGTTAGTGACTAAGGATGACATGTTCCTTAGACACAGCTGTTAATTGATAGCCCATACAGCTAATGGCAACTAAAGGACCTACAGTTTATTGTGGAATCCGAAACACATTTTTGCCTTGGTTGTTGAAGGGAGTAGCCTCCACTGTTTATGTAGTGCTTTGCTCATAAAGCAGGATGGATAATGTCCAAACACCCTCTAGGATAAAATAAGTGAATTCCATGATCCGTTAGGGCTCAACACACGTAGCATGACGTCATCCAAAAAGGGTTCTGACCTTGTTCCCTGCCACTCGCAGGTGTTGTTGTGGGTGTCAGTTCCATACTGTTCACGTATGGGGTTGTGTATTCACATTTCATAATTTCATCTGAATAGAGATTACATCACGCACAATGTTTATTTATTCATTACAGTATAACCAAATTTGTTGTATTCAACAGTAAACACATTTTAAGGGCGATTAAATTTAATCACTGATCAAAATAATTTGTAGGAGTTAAAAAGCTACCTTCTTTACAAAGGTATATTTCCGAATGAATATATTTCGAATGAATACAGATGTTAACTATTTTAAATGTTTAAAGTAAAACGTTTAGGGTTGTTTTCTTTACAACCCAGTTGTGTAAATATCGGATTCTCTGGCTGTAACGGCCGGAATAATAGGTACTTCAGTTTCTTCATTGTAAAACGGAGAGATTTTTTTAACAATAAATACACAATTTCAACTTAAACCAAATGTTTGTTGTAAAAGATTATTTCAAAAGCATTCGAGACCTATTCAACAACAATATTCCAGCACTACAAGCTGGAATACCATACAAGGATTGCAGTTATATAAGTTCTTAAACATATACTACTGACATATTGAAATATTACTAGTGAAGATGCTAATAAGGAAGCTACAATGCATGTAATGCATTTAATGAAAGTTGGTATAAACAATGATATTTCTATTTACAGGCTAAATACTCAGGAGGCAGTATGAACCCTGCGAGAAGTTTCGGACCCGCTCTACTCGCTGGAAACTTCACAGACCACTGGGTTTGTATTACATTTAAATCATGATCCAACCCTTAAACAGCAATCTATTCAATCAAGATTAGGTACTTGTAGTATATACAGTACTTTCATTTATAAAGCAAGATAAACCATGACGATTTTTCAAGGAGACGATTTATCTTTGACACATTTAAAACGCTGAATGCAATTTTATAAACGAGAAAGTTTCATGCTTTCAAATTTAACCTCTACATCACACACTAGAACACTAGTTTGGTTTCCAGATGTAAACTGGTTTAGGTTATCGATTTGGGCCGTTAAACTCCAAGACTATGAAAATCTATTACGCAATTAGTTTGGTTTGTTCACATTTCTAATTAATAAATCAGATAACCCAGCTGTATCTTTAACAAACTGAATTTCAGCTGTTTGTCAAAGGTACAAGTAATTGAGTTTATGACAACAATAACAAATCTTGCTACAACCTAAACCGAATACCAGACATATTTTTCAATGCGTTCTCCCCTTTAGAGTACCCGTCCTTCGTACGGGGTTGGAATATCAGTATAAAATGCTTATTGCAGTTATACTCAAGTTTTGCGTTTGCAATAAGGGAGGACACAGTTTGATAAAATTTGTTTTTTTACAGTAGGTATTCTATAGTATTGCACATCTACCATAGCCATAATGTTCTACCACTTCACCTAAACAATAGAGAAAAAAAAATTATCAACAATTCGCAAAATATCACAAATTATTCATGAAATGAAAAACTGTAAACATAACTGTAAACAATCCTACTTTGACAGTTCTCATTGCGAATCACAGTTTTTTGTTGCTGCTTAGTTCAAATTAGCTGTTTTCATAAATGCAAAAAAATATAGTGCTGCACCCTGTTAGTAAATCTTATAACTTTTTAATGCTTTTCCATATCATAGAACCAACTTTTTTAGTTTAAACAGCTGACTATAGTGGTAGCAAAACGGGAGTGCCGATGGAGACCAGGCCAAGTCCCTTTAAACGCACGCACCCCCACAGGTCTCCATCGGCACTCCCGTTTTGCTACCACTAAATTCTTTAATTCCCTTTAAATATGAATACTCATAAGGTTAACATGGGGAATTACAGAGCCACTGGGGCGGAGTCCGAAAGGATTTTTGAGATAAGAATATGCCTATATGTTAATCGGGAATGTAAGCTATCATCATGCCAAATTTCAGACCAATCCGTCCAGTGGTTTATGCGTGATTGAACTTCAAACACACAAACAAACAAACACACAAACTTTCACATTTATAATATTAGTAAGATTACTCAGTCGAATTGTAATTAAATTTTATAATGATCCCCAGTAATCGCAATAGCAAAAGTTTAACATGAACAACATACAAAAAGTACTAGAAGCTACGCACTCTTCGATTAGAGTAAGAAAAGGAATCAAGTGAATGAAAATAAAATAAAAGAATCAATTGTCGTGTATTTAAATGTCTAGGAATGAGAATGAATGGGAGATAAGAGCGATAGAGCGCATACCTGTAGATAACGATGCGATAAGCTAAAGACCGTGGTCGCCACGACCTTGGCTCTCCCCCCTCCCCCCCCACCGAGGGATTTAAATTTTAAATGCCATCTCCCTGTACGCCGCGCGGGCTGCGTCACTGCTACTGCGGGCGCCCGACTGACTACGGTGCCCAATAAACATTATGCACAGACCGATGAAGGAAATGTAATTATTTATTTTATAGTAAATTACACTACAAAGGCGACGAATTGGTGTTTAAAAAACCTCCAGTGGGATTTTATGCAAGTACAGTATCGTTAATTTATCGATTCATCGATCGATTGACAAAACTATTATTAATTGAGTGATTGAGCCGTTTTTAAAACTAGCCTTTTCAATTCAGTTCTTAGAATTGTAAATATTTACTTAACAGTTTTTTTTTTTTTTTTTTTTTTTTTTGTTACTTTACGGTACAAGTTTGGACCAATCAAGGATTGGGAGAAAAGAAGTAAAATTATACTTTAGTCAACTTATCAGCTGTTAAGGCCAATTTAATTGATTAAAGAATTAGTGGGTGAATAGGACAATGAGTCGTTGCATCACAATCAGTGGCTATGAGAGGTTATTAGCGTAAACATAACCTCTCTTATACGTCATGAGTAGTGATTGTAATAAAAAAAATTTCTTAGGTAAAGTATTGTACGCAACTCTTGTAATTACCCCTAGATACTATCTTTACACAATCGTTGCGTAAACTACTAATACCCATAACTTTTAGCTAGTTCAAATCTTAACAAACTTCTACTTTGTCCCACAATTATCAACCCTACGCTTCTTTCTCCCACTTATCACTTACTGTAATTTTACAGGTGTACTGGGTCGGCCCTCTGACGGGTTCCACCATAGCTTCGCTTATCTACAAGACCTTCTTATCAGAGGTCAAACCCAAGGTCACACCCACCAGCCTGGAGGTTACAGAAGAAATGCAACCCTTGTAAAGCACTTGGACTAAGGACTCAAGATCTCACTGACATGAATTTATTTTTATAAAATACATTTTGACAAATAAATACTCTTAGTAATTAGTCATTGCATTTAAACATATTTCAGAACAAACATAGTTTGATGTTGTTTCTTTAATGAGGTATATGAAAGTGCGTTATTACATGGTGTGGTATAATTTAAAATAAAAATAATCCTTGTAATATGTTGAAAAATATGTTAAGAAACAGTTATAGATGAATGTATTTCATATACATGCCAATAGTATACTATTTTTACTATATTATATTTTAGTTTAATGCGGAATGTACTAAAGTTGTAAAGTTCATAATTGTCTTAAGATTAGTTTTGATTAAAATTATAACATAGAAACATAAAGTTTGATTGAATTTAAAAGTTGTGTGTTTGTATTTTGTATCAGTTCTTTAGATAATAAATGTATTTTTTGTTACAATTTTGTAGTGTCTTTTTAAGGTCCCTTCCTAATTTTTAAGGAGAAAATTATCTCACCATGGTAAAGAAAATTGGTGTCTTAAGAGTAAGAAGACACAGTTCTATTCATCTACAAAATTATAAAAGCGAAAGAAAGTTCTTGTTGGCTAGTTATAATCATTAATGTTTAAAAAATTAGCTATAGTACTAGGCGTTTCTTTAAAGTCGGTCAAATAGAAATTTTCGAAAAGTAAATACACTCTATTTAATAAAATGTATTTTTTTAACGATATTTCCAAAACTAAAGGACCTTTACCTTTTGTGGCAATCTTAATACCTAATTTTTTAATGCAAGTCCCTTAAAGCTCGTTTAAAAAATTTTTTAACAATTTAGATGATACTGATACTGAAGAAAACTGCAATGCAATATACAATTTAATCTAGTCCTCTCATCACTTGACTATCGCATCAAATATAGGTACTTTATCGATTACCTAACACAACGTTAATAACAACTATCGAGTATTTATCGGGTTGTTATCACCACATTATTGGTTTGTAGAAAAGATTAAATGCAATCAAAGATAATCTGTGCTTTAAAAATAACAGCTCTATCATTCGAAAATACTGCTATTGCAAAATCACCATGAATAAGGTATTTTCTCCTATGGTTTAGATACCTGAATTATAGTCCCTTTTTACGTCGACTTAAATAGAAGTGCCCTTTGTTTCTTACGAGTAGAAATACAATGTACAGATCGAACTAGCTTAAAACAACTAAATCAACCAATTTCCAGTAATTACTGTAATTGATTGTTTACAAAAGACACATTCGTCAATGATTATGTACCATTGTGTACCCTAATTGTGAAGTAGAACACAGAAACATCCCTGTGTACAATAGACTACCTGTTGTACAAGGGCAGTCATGTAGTTTGTAGATCCATTAGTACAGATATCGTCTCTTTGTTCCTGTTGTGTCGATTTCCATCACAAAAGCATCGACGAAAATCCTGTATGCATCAGGTATCTGAACGTGATTTCCAGTCAGAGGTTTTAGGGAATTGGTATACTATACACAGTGAATTGGATAGCAAAACGTAAGTCTTTCATTTATTAAGGAGCATTTTAGTACATTTCTAAGTAATTGTTTCAGATCTTTTGTAATGCTTCAACTATGATTTCACTACGCAATATTGGAAATCAAATCAAATAATAAAATAGTTTTATCACCAAATTAGAGCACCCCCAAAATTAAGGATTACGCAATAAAGCGTTACATTTTCATTGATTGAAGTTTAAGTTTATCTGTTAACATGGTTAATTTTGTATATTATTTAGCAAATTTTTGCCAATGCGACAACCTTCTATTTCCCTTGGTGTTGTATTTCAAGATTGTTCTCTCTTTTATTTGAGCGACTCAATCATATCTGACGACCATTCAGTTTCGAAAATCCTAAGATAGCTGCCAAAAACAAAAACTCCTCTCATACATTAGCCAGTGACAGATAGACAGACGGACATATCGTAATCCCCGTCCCACAATAGCACTGTCCAAGCGCCAACTCTAGTAACCCACATTTACAGGTCGCCGACTCCCAATGTATCTGTGTTTATATTATTGTAAATGGTCATAACAATATAAGCTGCAATTGTGGCTGTGAGATTGGATATACTCTTATAAATTATCAAGTTATTAATTGGATTATTAAGTTTTATAGACTAACTGGAAGAAATAATTTAAGTAGTTTATAGTAACTTTGGAATGGATCCAGATGTGTTTTGCCTTTCGTATAAATGCATTTTGTAAACCTATGGGTATGGAGATGTATTAGTGAGTATAAAGAATTTTGTTTATTTTGTTTCACATAATGCACCTATGTGAGTTGAAGTCGTCTAAATGTTTCTTTATTTTTCTTATTATGTCTACACCACTGTCATTTTGTAAAAGGAATCACAAAACATTTTAAGGAAAGTTGGTCCAACACACCTAAAATATTTATGGATCGAGGGTCAAACCTCAGAAAAGTCCAAACAGCTGATATACCTTAAAAATGGTATGATATAGGTTTACGGGCAACTAGTTGTACTGTATATTTTTTTAATAAATATTATATTTCTTTACAGAATATCCTTTTAAAATCAATTAAAATATTCTGTTAATAAAAAAACATCTCTTTCACCATTTCAGAAATATCTAAAATAAAAATATGAAAGAACAATTTCTATTAATTACCATTCTAGACTGAGGTAATTAATTCCTTTGCCTGGTCCACCACAAAGGAAGCACCACAGATTGGCAATTACAGCTGCAAAGCTTCCAGTGATTGCGGTATCAAAGCTGTGATATTTATGTAGATAAACCTTCCTTTGAGGTATATGTTGACTATTCAATAATGTATTCATTTCTGACTTGTTACAACAATAATAGAAACCTTACTTGGTATCGAGGTGTTCATTTCCATTGACACCACACACATCATAGATGTATTTGAAACTTATTAAATCATATCGTAATGGTTGTGTGTAAAAAATACACTGACACATAAAGAAAATATACTTTTGTGAAAATAATAATCCTTTTATCTTCAAAGAAGTTTTAATGTTACTCTACAATAGAATCGGACTAGAGTCCTCTTGTTTTTGTCCCAGGACTGCGACCAAAGGCGACCAAGTGAATTATAAAATATCAGGTTTATGACTGTACCTTTTGTGGTTCAAGAATAACACAGTTGTTGTGTGACTTAGTCTTTACGTGTGTTTACATTTTTTATTTTTGTTTGTATCTCTATACAATTTATGTAAGTTCGTGGATTTTTAGTTCTTAAAATTTAGAGAATTGAGGGTAGATCTAACTTCATTACTTTTTTAATAGCTATAATAAATGTTATCCACTAATAGTATTTAAATACAGAATAAATTTTGTGAGTGTAGGTGAATTGATGCAATAAGAAACGTCACTTCAGGGCAACTAGTTCAACTAAGCCAACTAGTTCAACTTCAGGCTCCATAAAAACGTCCTGCCAAATCATTTAAAGATTGTCAAAACTAATAATAAATTAGTTGAACGTACACGGACATTATACCAAGAACATTAAAAGGTTAAACAATAATATTGTGAAATTTATAGTTAATAACATATTTACTATGAACTAAATGTATATTGATCAGCCTTATTTAAACGTCGTAATACGTGGTTTAGGTTACTTTTTGCAAATAGACATCTACATTGCAACAATAAAGAAGTATTTGAATAACATCAACAAGAAGTTTGTATAAATACTAATTATATTGTATTTACAGCAACTTTCCTTGATCAAACGCCCTACAAATGTAAACAGTTTATTGATGTTGGGTATGGTACATTCTCTGATTATGTGTGCAGTATGAAACCATTGTAAGATCGAATAGATGCGTAGTCATAGGAGTCTTAGGTGAGCTAAATGATAAATGAATATTTTTACTAAATATTTTCTAAACAACGTAAATATTTTTTTTATAAAAAACAAAGTTAGGAATTTTTATTTTATTGTCAGACACACTGTGTCATTAGGATATTCGTCACTGTATTTCCAATTAATTTTTATTTCACTTTTAGTTTCATAATGATTTAATTCTAATGGGCTATAACATTAAATTTACCATAGGGTGATTTCATTTTGATATTCAATTTATTTTCCATTACTACAAACACATGTCGATCCTATTCCTACTATTAAAATAATTCATTACAATACATTTTCGTTCATGTCTGAAGATTTTACAACCAACTTGTTAATCTACAAAAGAGCCAAGTTACAGTCCTGTGGCGGTTTATATAAGGAGGCTTGTGGTAAGATTATCCTTCGAAATTAATTCTAAATCTCGACACATAAGCAGGTGGTCATGTTCATTGTTCATACTAAGATTATTGTACCGAATCCTCTTAAGAGGGTTACGACCAATTAACGTTTGTGGTTTAGGATGTGAGATGTGAAGGTAGTCTTAAAATTAGTAAAATTACATCCTCACATTTTCTCTTCAATCTAAAACATATACAATTTTAGAAAACACGTGTACGGGCAAAATCGGGGTTTCTACATTAAAAACAGGGATTTTAACATTTTCACTTTGGGATACATTTACTGTATAATAAATTCGTCGAATAAAAATCCAATAACTCGAACATGCTACAGATGGTCAAGTTTTATCAATATAATTTTACGTTTTTCCGCGATTTAGTTGTTTATTTACATTTAACTGCTTTGAAACATTTAATCTTTCTCATCTGTCGTCGTGTACCGGCATCGCTGAGCTTACTAATGTTCTTATGAAGTATGGATCCAACCATACATAGCCTACTTGGTTAGTTGTAGGTTCCTTTCCACCTAAAGTTGATATTAGATTCCTAATCCTAAACTGTCATGAAATGTGTAGCGTTTTAAAAATGAACTCAACTATACTTGAAACATGATAAACCTAACGTCACCAAAAAAAGCTGGTAAGAAAAATAAATCTATCTAGACAATACTTAATTACATAATATTGTATACTATACTTTTAAGAATAAAAATTAAAACTGTTCTTTCAAACGCATTGTTTTTATGGTAATTGCCCATTCTTAAAAAGTACCACTTCATATTTAAATGGGAAATTAAATAAATGATTTACTCAAGAGCAAACTGCTTACTTTTAAAAATTAAATACGTCCTTCTCCAATCATTCGATATTGTCAATTGTATTAAAATAACGAGTAAGGTAGTATTCTCCAGAAAATTGTAATTAATTGGTTAATAAAACATGCCAGACTTATAATATAAATTAAATTTGATATCGAATGAACTGTAAACGATTTATTGTAATCCTTTCACTTGAATGTAAAATACATCCAACTTTCATTTCCTCAGCACTTGATAAAGGTAATTTATATTTGACAGAGATAATATCTAATTTATATTTTCAAAGGTTCTAGCTACGCTTTCGGTTT